TGTGGTGGGCGGGCTCATGGCTGCAGGCGGCGGGGCGTGGGGTGCGAGGCCCACTGTCCATGCCACCTCGTCCTCCAACGGGAAGCCGAAGCCCAGCAGCGGCCACCACCCAAAGCTGGAGAAAACTGCCTCAAAATTCTATTTCTGATACACATCAATTTTCTACCCACAGCTGCCGCCAGGAATGGATAAAGGCTATGTAGAGCGCAGCTTTCTCTGCTGTCAGCAAAATACGATACCATATCCTTCACCCCTGCCCCACCCTTGCTCCACTCAAGGTGCTCTGGGCCCTGCCTGCATGTAGGTCACACTAAGCGCACCCTCTGTGGCTGCTGTAGCTGCCTGTTTCTCCGCCCCTCCCTCTCTCTCTCTTGGGCATGGTCTGCTACCAGCTACACCACCAGGCAGACACGCAGCGTCTTCACCACCAACTGCACTGCCCAGCCAGGCAGGGTCATCGGTGCTGCAGTAGGTGCTTCAACACGGCCACGGTGCCTCACGGACTGTAAAAGGGAATGAACAGCCCGGGGAGAGTCTTTTTAAATTACATACGGAATAAATATAAACACCAGGGTCGTTTGGAATCGAAAGTGGCATCATGCTAACGTGAGTGAAAACAAAAACAGAGTATCTGTTTTTCAAAACGCGGTGGCTCCTTCCACACGCCGTCAGCATGCTTTCCATTCATACACAGGTCCCTCTGGAGGGCAGCTTTTACAGTGGTCGGTCACTGTCGGCCAACACCACCGAGAGCCTAATCAAAATGCGAGGACATCTGTCACACTCACGTCTGACGTCCGAGCTCCGCTGCACACGCAGATCTCAACCGCGGCGACGCGGATGTTCAGTGAAACTAGTCTATGGTGCTGTGCATTCCAAAGGCACCTTTACACATGAACAGATTCTATTTTAACGACTCAGTGCAGTATGTGTGATGTGTACAATCGATAGATATAAAAGTCTCCTGTGGGTATTATACACGGAGGCTCCACTCTGTCCACGGGCACAGCTCCGTTTTCTAAAACACGGAAATGAGGAGCAGCGCATTAAGACTGTAAACCAACGTGTTCTGTCCCGGTACCATCTCTCTGAATATTTACCATGAACTTTCTCCCCGAGTGCAGCAGTACAAATAAAAGGTCATAAGTGTCTGTGCAGCCAGGGAAGTTCTCACTGTGAAGTAAAGAGTCGGACACAGAGGAATTCAGGGAGTTTTCCATGACGCGGGCGACTGGCCTCACCCAAGCGCCTTTCCTCTCCAGTTTCCCCTGGAGACTGCAGGCTGCTCCCTATGTCCGCGGGGCAGAGAGATTCCTACTCCACACAAAGGCTCGCTCGGCTGCAAAGTTTTATCTTTCCTTTGTAATTGGAAACAATACACATTAGGTGACGGGTCTCTTTGTGCAGCACCTGTGAGGATCACCAGTGTTATCAGAACAGGAAACAACAGCGACTAGTACTTGACAGGAGGGACGATCCTAACCACCCGCACTGAGAAGAGTTTCGTCCTGGTAAGAAGCTGCCTCCCTGACAGCTGTCACCATTCCAAGTCCCCTCCCGTCCCTGAACGCCAAAGGGAACTGCACAGGGGGCAGTTTGGTGTGGGAAGATGGAGAAGAGAATTGGTTTGTTTTTTAATCTAGACCTGAGGGGCTGGGTAGCAGATATGAGCAGGAGACAGGGGGTCTCTTGTAGGCAGCTCTGCCTAGTTCTAGGGCAGAAGATGCCACTGTTCCTGGGCATCCCTGCCATTGCTGATCTCCGAGGCAATGAGGTGCGCGCACACACATCCACGCCCTGGGGACCAGGCGAGGACTAGAAGTAGGCCCTGAGATGGCCAAATGTTACAGGTGACAGGCACACACGGTCTATACGTGGAGAAAAGGAAAAACAGCAAAGAATGACAACCTAAAATACAGGACTAGGCTGAAATGGATATGGAAGACTGAAAGTCTGTTATATTTATTGCCAATACTGACTGAAAAAAAAAATCATTTTATTCTATGTGCCAGACACTTATTATACATCTTCTCATATAATCCTACAGGAATCCTGCAAAGTAGATACTATGTATTTTACAACTGAAAAAATGGTGGCGGAAAGGTTAAGTGACTCGCCCAATGTCACCCGACCAGGAGGTGCAGATGTTAGGCCTGACGTGGCTTCATGACAAAGGCCCTATGCGTTTCCCGAGAACATTCTGATCTTACGAATCCTATTTATATAGACCAGAGAGCAGCACACTTTTTCTTTGAGGGCTAAGTGTTAAGTGTCTTAGGCTTTGTGAGCCGTACAGTCTCTGTTGCACCCACCCAGGTAAAGCGGGAAAGCAGCCACAGAGACTAGGTAAACAAATGGGCATGGACGTTCTCCAGTAACCGGAGGCCAGTCTGCCAGCTCCAGATACAGCTCAGGGGTTGGCAAGCGCAGAGCTGGGCCAGATCCAGCCCACCGTTGGTTTTTGTAAAAAAAGCTTTATTTCTTTTATCATCAAGATCTAGCCCATCATCTAGACCAGCGGTTCTCAACCTGTGGGTCACGACCCCTTTGGCGGTCGAACGACCCTTTCACAGGGGTCGCCTAAGACCATCCTGCATATCAGATATTTACATTACGATTCATAACAGTAGCAACATTACAGTTATGAAGTAGCAACGAAAATAATTTTATGGTTGGGTCACAACATGAGGAACTGTATTTAAAGGGCCAGAAGGTTGAGAACCACTGATCTAGACTATTTCTAGACAGTGAAGAGTAATGTGCCGAGCTCAAATAACGTCCTCGTTTCACAGAAACACTCTCAGGAGCATCAGTGCTCTTTGTTCTAACCTTCCTTCATTCCTAACTTCCTAATCTGTGGTCAGTGGGGTCCAGCCCTCCAGGTGGGAGAGCCCTGATAAACTCCTGGTGCCCGAGGTCACCTCTCACTGCGAAGGAGCAGGGCCATTCTGCGCCATCAACAGATAAGTGATTCAGTTTCTGGGAGGAGTAGGATCTTGGGCAGCTGAATAGATAAAAACGGAGATTCTTAACCTAAAAAGATGGGTGACCACAGATTGAGTTTGTGGTGCCATGATGATGAATTAGTTAATTCATCCATTCTAATATTTTATGTTAATCCTCACTTGAGAATATTTTTCCATTGTTTTTGTTTGTTTGTTTGTTTTAAGAGAGAGTGAAAGGGAGGAGGAGAGAGAGAGAGAGAGAGAGAGAGAGAGAGAGAGAAACATCAATGTGAGAGAGAAACATCAATTGGCTGCCTCCTGCACAGGCTCGATGAGGGCCGTGTGGGGATGGAGCCTGCAACTGAGATACATGCCCTTGACTGGAACTGAACCTGGGCCCTTCAGTCTGCAGGCTGACACTTTATCCACTGAGCCAAACCGGCTAGGGCAGCGGCTTTTCAGTCTGAATTTCATATGTGTTTCTGCCTGGCACAGAGTGGGCACACCATAAAATATTAGAATGCCCTAGCCCAGTGGTCGGCAAACTGAGGCTCGCGAGCCACATGCAGCTCTTTGGCCCCTTGAGTGTGGCTCTTCCACAAAATACCACATGCGGGCGAGCACGTACAGTGCGATTGAAACTTTGTGGCCCATGTGCAGAAGTCGGTATTTTGTGGAAGAGCCACACTCAAGGGGCCAAAGAGCTGCATGTGGCTCGCGAGCCTCAGTTTGCCGACCACTGGGCTAGGGCATTCTAATATTTTATGGTGTGCCCACTCTGTGCCAGGCAGAAACACATATGAAATTCAGACTGAAAAGACTTATAGCACTTGAGTAAATACTTCACATAGTGCAAATCTATGTTGCTATTTATGACACCATAAAACTTGAGCCAGAACGCAAACCACTGCAAGCAAACAGACTAACACAGACAAACTGTGTTGCTTTGACAGCTACCGAAGTGAGATCCCCAGACAAGGGACTCTGGCTTCTTGTCAAGTTGTAGCTATGGGAGAACTTGTAAGATCTGGGAGGACAGAGGCCATCCTGGCTCAGTGCCCAGACCCGGGAACTCCGAAAGGATCTGTCATCCTTATTACTGTGGATCACCTCCACAGCTCCTGACGAGCTGGGCTCAGAAGGCCCAGCTAAGAAGTCAGATTTTCTAACTCACATTATCAAGAGCAAACACTCCTCCATACCTGGACGGTCTGGTAATCGGAAGCATCGATTCCTTTCACAGTCACCTCTCGGAAGACTCTTGGCTCCAGCTCCTCTTTGGTGAGATCACAGTGATAAATAATGCCTAGAAGGAAGCGGAAGTCTACCTTTAGTCCATGAACACACCAGACACAGGGGGACAAGGATCACAAACCATAATCAGATGCCATGAGGAGCGGAGGAGCATCAGGGAGCATGAGAAGAGGGAAGAGCTAACTGTGGAAATGTAACAGGTCTGCTCCACGCCAAGTCACTTAGGAGCACAGGCAAAATAACATGGGAAATTTCACACAGGGCCGTTATGCCTGAGAGCCAATTACGACGGAAAAGACTAATGAGTGGCCCAAAGTCAAGAGCCAGTCAGGGGTCTCTTGATGGCAATCTGGGGCTCTTGCTACCTACCCGCCACCCACTCATTCACAGACACACAGGTGGACAGCAATCAGGGACCAGAGATGATCGGGGAGCCATTCTCAAATTGCTTTACAATTTTGATTATCCCAGTAATTGTGCATAACACAAATTGAAAAATATGCACCAAGATTTCCAGCTTATTTAACCACTAATTAAAATTCTATTTCCTGAATTTAATGCTGACATTTAACAACTAAATCGGAGGAACAATAAATAGGACAAGTCCCACTGTTTGAGAAAAACAACACTGCTGTGGTTTATGAAACAGAATTAGTCATCCAGAATGGCTGGTGTGGAAAACAGCCCTCCCACGAAATACTTTACACATATACTGTCAAATATATGAAAAATCTGTTCAGTGATCCCCATGCTTGCTGGAAAACCAGAAACCAAACGGTGCTCCCACAGGACACATTCTAAATGACTGATCTGGAGTAAAACCGTGGCTGGCGTTCTTCTCAGCTCCTCTGTGTATGTTCTCCACTAACAGTTGAGAAACATACTCTGCCCCCCACTGGCAAAGAGAAGTACATTTAGATTCCTTAACAGCATGACTGCTAATCCCGACAAATGTTATCCCAATCATCACGCTTACAGACACAGTGTGCTAAGGCACGATCATAGGGTGTATGATTAACATCAACAGTGGGGAGATATGTAACATGATTCAAAGTATTGGCTTTCTTCGGTATGAAGTATAACTTAAATACTTCCACGCTGCACTCTGGGCATATGCTGAATTTTCCTAGATGAATGTCATCTTGAGGGAAATGGCTATCTTCAGATATATGTGAATTGTGGAAAAGCTTCTTGTTCAGTACCTGCTCCCCTCTTTCCCAAAATACAAAAACCATCTGGATCTTTGAAGAAAAAGCACACCAAACCACCAAACAACTACAAACAGAGATGGCAGACCAAGCACGTACCCCGTGAACACCTGACTCGCCCTGGCATCACCACTACCTCTAGTGCAGTGACTGACAGGGACCGGGAGCCAGGATTCCCAGCGCTGACAGTTACTGGGCCAGTGAGCTTAGACAGTCACCAAAGGACTAGAATGCAAATCCCCTAGTGAAAGAAATGAATAGAAAATACACTCTAAACGCCTGTTTATCCAGAAAAAAGAAATTCAGACATTGAATCCTCTAACAGTGGAGTGAAGTAAATACACCACAGGGGCTGGCTACTGCCTGATCCCTATTCTTCTGTCTTCTGGGAAGAGGCTGTGTTAACCCTGAAGGTACCACTACTTAATATAGTTAGTTGAGCAATGCTTTCTATTTACATATTCGCACATTCACACTGTAATGTAAATCCTTATAATGTAACGATGTTTGGTGTCCAAGTACAAGTGAAGGTGGGGTTTGGAGAAATCCTACATTCATGAACCAGAAAGGATTGGTTAGGTGATCTCTAGGAAATCAATTCCAAAATTTAAGGGTGAAAGAGAGATTTGGAATATGGGAGTCCCTTAAGGTGTCTGGACTTGAGGAGATGGGTCACTGATGAAAACAAGGCAGGGCTGGTCAGCTGGGATATTCCTGCTATAATTCGAAATAAATGTAAGGAGGTAAAAGAAATGGGAGTTAGGAAAAGGGGTAACTCTATGAGAAACTGTGAAAGAAGAATCAGAAGGATAAGAAAGACTGCGTATGTAAAGAAAAGGCAAAAGAACTTTGCAAAAGATGACCCACGTAGAGACTGTTTTGTCTGATTGAGGTTGGGTTTTAAGGTTTTTAAAAGAAAAAAATAAATAAAAACTAAAACAAGTCTCTTTAAAAATTTTGTGCTCCTTGGTATTTTCTTAACAGAGTTGAAAATGTATTTATGTCCCCACAAAAGCTTGCTCATGGATGTTTATAGCAGCTTTATTCACGATTGCCAAAACTTAGAAGCAACCAAGAGGTCCTGCAGTAGGTGAATGTGTAAATGGACGATGCTACACCCAGAAAATGGAATATTATTCAGTGCTAAAAAGTAATAAAGACACGGAGTATCCTGAAATGCATATTACTAAATGAAAGAAGCCAATCTGATAAGAAGCCAATACTGTGTGATTCCAACTACATGACATTCTGGAAAAGGCACAACTATGGGGACAATAAAATAAACAGTGGTTGCCAAGGGTTGGGACATGGGGTGGGTTGAAAAAGCAGAGCACAGAGGATTTTTAGGGGAGTGAAAGCATTTTGTAGGATACCATAATGATGGATACATGTCATTATACACTTATCCTAACCCACAGAAAGTACAACTCTAAGAGTGAATCCTAATGTAAATTATAGACTTGGGGTGATCATGATGTGTCAGTGTAGGTTTATCAGCTGTATAACAAATGTAATACACTTGGAGGGGTGTTGATGGTGGGAGAGATTATGCATGTGCAGGGGCAGGGATTATATGGTAAATCTCTGTACCTTGCCCTTAATTTTGCTGTGAACCTAAATTTGCTCTAAAACACACTCTCTCTCTCTCTCTCTCTCTCTCTCTCTCTCTTCTCTCTC